CGAAGAAGAACTACATTCACCTCATCGTAGATGGGAACACCGGGGGGGACTCCGTCACCCAGAGGAAGAAATTGGCCCAATCCCTTTACATTGGGGAGGTGTCACACGTCCCCCCCCAGCCGAAGAAGCAACGAACGGAGGCGATCACCTTCACCGACAAGGATCTGCCTTCAGGTACGGAGTCACACAGGGACGCCCTCGTCATCCGATGTGAGATCGGTAATTCCATCATCCACTGCACTTACGTCGATACGGGGAGCTCCGTCAACGTGATGCACCTAGACACCTTCAAGCAGCTGAAGCTGGACAAAGCTCTGTTGAAGCCGATCAAGACACCGTTGTCCGGTTTCACCGGGGACTCTATCGACGTCGAAGGCATGATAGTCCTCCCCGAGGAGGTCGGCGACGGCTCCCACCACGCCAAAATTGACATGGAGTTCATTGAAAGCATCGTCCCTATCGGCTGCCACCTGCCGGTAGGCCACGTCGGCCTCATCAACCCCCTTCTGTAGGGCCTTCACCTCCTCCCGGAGCCGATCCAGGCAGGCCATGGCCTCCTTGGCCGAAACAGCTTTCTTCTCGGCCTCCCTCAAGTGGGCAATCTCTTGCTCTTGCCGCTTGTGGCTCTCCATCAGCATAAGAGCACCCTGCAACAAAAGGACAAAACGAAGAGTTAGGACGACGCAAAACCCATGACACAAGAAGACGTAAAGTACGAAGAACTTACTTGGATGATGAGGTCCATACCGCCGTCGTAGCTCTTGACGGGACCCAGCTTCTTCAAGTAAGCCTGATCCTCGACCGGAACAGCTTGAGCCAGGACATCGTGGCCGTCAACGGCGTCGTTGAAAACACCACCCTTCACGGGATACTCGACCTCGAGCCTATAGGTCCCACCGGCCAGCTCCTTGCCGGCCCTCTGCTTGCGGGGCTCTTGGCCGACAGGCGGCGGCTGGGATAGAGCCGTTGAAGAGGGGACCGAAACCGCGTCCACAAAGGCAATGGCATTTGAGCCCCCGGCATCATCATCCGGCACGGTCATACCACCAGCACCAGTATCGGCCAGAGGGGAAGCCCTCCTCGGCTTCTTGGACTGCATACCGGCCTCAGTGATCTTTTTCTGGCCGTCATCCGCAGCCCGTTTCTTCTTCGGCTGCGTAGGCGGCTTCTTCGCCGCATCGGAGCTTGGTTGGGCGCCTCCCGCAGCAGCCATCTTCGCGGCCTCTTTTGCGGCCATCTCCTCCTTTGCCTTAGCTTTGGTTAGGGCCATGACGGATCTGCGATCCATAGTGAAGTCTGCACAACAAGAAAAACAAACAGTTAGCAAAAAAAAAGAAAAAATGGATGAAGGCCCCAGGGAGGGTATTACCATCGGCGTCAGCAGGAATGCCCATATCCGGGCCATCGGCCTCCTCGAAGGTGGTGGTCATCTTCGGCCACAGCTCGATATCACTTTCCTTGTCGCCGTATACATAATACCTCATGAAGCCGAGGGCGGTCATCTTATACTCCGTGATGAATGTTTCACGCTCCTCGGCCCTCCCTTCAGAAATGCCGCTACCTGGGCATCCAAAATACTGCTCTTCGGCACGTCGTGAAGGGTGAACTTACCGTCATGACCAACTGAGGGAAACTCCGTGCCGTCCTCACCCAAGGATACGAAGACGAACTTGCTCTTCCAACCATGAATGGACGAAGGGAGGTCAGTGAAACTCCTCTTCTTCGGTAGCTGTTGGAGATTAGCATAACCGACACAATTTTTGTGGCTCCCTCGGCCGATCTGGTACAGGTTCATGAACAGAGCCGTCGTCGGCCTAAAGTCTAACTCATCACAATGGAGAAGGAAGCCGACGATGAGCGAGTAGCTGTTGGGAGTCAACAAGGCCGGAGGGAGACTCACCATATCTAGATACTCCGTAATGAATGGGTGGAGGGGAAACCTAACTCCCTTTGCGAAGCTCATGGGGTAGACTCCAAAATACCCCAGAGGGGGATTCAACACGTGATCCGTCGGCCTGGGCGCCCTAACCCTTCCATACGACCCCACGTACATCTGGGCCACCAAGTAATCGGTCGTGCTACTCTCAGGCTTGATCAGATAAAGGTTGGTAAGATCCAGGTAAGAGAAACCTTGACCCCTCTTCGGCCGCCGCCTTCTCGTCGGAGCAGCTCCCTTTACAGCAGAAACCGGCTTCGGGCAAGGAATTGCAGCCGATGTAGACGCTCCATCCACAGCACGTGAAGCCACTACGTCCTCACCATCAGACGACGAGGCGGCCTCTTCGTCCTCACCCTCACTCTCCCCTGATTTGAAGGAGCTCAGCTCCTCTATCTCCTCACAGCACTCTTCTACCACCTGGTAATCAAGAGACTTAGCAGAGGGCTCATCGTCGTATGGGTAGTACTCGTCGTTCAAAGGTTTCATCATAACAACTAACTAAAGCCAAAGAGTTTCTACTTTGGATCTAAGGGTGTTTTCTCCACTAACAGAGGATCAAAGCTAAAATAAGCAAAGTACACAAGTAATTTGGGAAAAGTTCGACGAACTGACCTTTGAAGTTTTGAAGAACGGAAGAACACACACAAAGGCTCTCTCTCTAGAAAATTCAGCAGCACTTCGTTATCTCAGGAATGCAATGAGGAACCTCTTCGGAAGGGGGGGGGGGTATTTATAGACCTCCCCCCAACGGTCACTACACGTGGCAACCCCTCATTGGCCACATGAACGGCCACCACCCCCAAGACCCATTGGGTTGGCGCCGATTTAGAAGACGGGTCAGGCCCACTTCCACAATACCAGCTCATCGCCAACAGGCCAACCACTCAACGGCCACGTTAAGGAATCGTGCCCGCATCAGCCTCAACACAGAGACACTTCAAAAGGATAGGCCATTCTCAAGGCGTGTCCATATCGGCTTACACAGGATGCCAATTGCATGACCTTTTCAACGGCCACATCGGTACAATCAACAAGAAACCCCACGCCATCGGCCCTGTGTAAAACCCTGATGATAATTTCTTGAAAGCGACCTGCGTCCAAGGGTTCTCCCACAGGGTTACCTTGGTCAGGAAATCGCCAAGGAATTGGATTCAGGTGTACACAAGAGTCCGCTTCGGCCTAGGTAAATCCTTTACTCCTTCACCCCTCACCTACTCTTCGGCTTGAAGCAGTGGGGGTCTGGGGGACTACACCGGCCTTTGAAAATCAGGACAAAATCAAAGAAAACAAAAAATATACCAAGTCCACAACTACAACATCAGACATGCACCACAACGTCCATAACCTCGTGGTGCACCGTCGGCCGCAGCAAAGCTAGCGAACAAAGAATTCCCTCCAAAAGTGCAAACACTTGAGATCACAGAGCACTTATCGGCTTTGAAACCACATACTCCACTCTCGGCTAGGAATCAAAGAACAAGAAGTCAACATACATGAATCACCATCGTCCATAAGACCAGGACACGCACCACTCCTCCCGGATCAGTGCCAGTATCGTCCTCAAAAGCGTGAACGCCAGACTACGGACATCACCGCTCCGACCAAGAAACACATAACGCAGTCAACGGCCAAAGGAAGCAAACAACACCCTCACCGGCCACCCGGAAACAAAAGGACACTCATCATCCTCAAACAGGAGATAACCACAAGGGCCTCCTCGGCCCAAAAAGCGCGAAATTCAGCCATCAACTGTCAGGAGTGGGCATGACCTTCATCGCCATTCATGACAAAGGATGCTCACCGTCCCTACCAAGCAAAGACACCCAACGTCCTTAAATAGAAAATACTCACCATGACTGGGTCCCTCTTCATCTACAGCGGCCAAGACGCTGAGTACCCACAACGGCCATAAAACAAGGAACCGGATCAAAAGGTGCCCGTAACGGCTAAGAACAAGAAAGGGTCCCATAACGGCCAGAAAACGTTAGAGGCAAGAAATCTACTCTCCCTCACCTCGTCTACGTCTCAGCTCAGAGAGTGGGGGACTCCTGATGGAGTATATGGGCCTAGACCCCATGGCCCACACACTCGGAAGAACAGAAGGTATCACGATCACCTGGTGGGACCCTCGTCGGCCCAGATGACCTCCATCGGCCGGAAAGCAGTCTACTCAAAATACAGTCCAGGAGCCAGGAGAACCGGGCGACCTCGTCGGCTGGGTCTTCGTCGGCCATGCCCTCGTCGGCCGTGCCCTCATCGGCCACAAGCGGCCCCCAGAATAGGATCCCACATACTTAATCATTCTTACATCTCTTGTACCCGGCCCAATAGTGGACCTATTGTAAATGGGCCTCCCAAGCCCAAGACTTGGGAGCCCAGCTCTAATTTTTCCTATAAATACTACCTCTGAGAGTAGTTGTAGGGGTTCACAAAATCATTTATTGAAGTATTTACTTGCACTTCTCTCTCTAGCTCTCACTTCTCTCTAGATATATACTCTATCAATATCTCTAAAGGAACAATTAATACATGAATTAAGTTGGTGATGTTGTGTGCTTAAATAAATATCTCAAACATACTACTGTATAGGTTCAAATCCACCTCAGACGTGTAAAATACTTAAATTATGATTGTAAAAAAACCTTGTATTTTAGTGTTGATTTTTTTTTTAAATTTTTGTACATGAAATTTATATTTTTACATGTTTTTTTGCATTAGGAGTATAAGATTTTTTATTAAATTTGGGATGAATTAGTCCATCTATTCTCATTTATTTTTTTCTTATTTTATTTCATTAATTTAGAGTAATTTTAAATTTTTTTAATTGCATATATCAAAATACCTTGTATTAAAAATATATAGATGTTAAATTTTTGTAAAGATGTGATTGTACCAGCAAGTCAATGTAGTCTAGTGGGTTGCAAAATGCAAACGCATCTTTTTATATTTAAAAAAAAAAATACCATATTGATTTAGATTGTGGGCCTCGGCGGTTGATTTAAAAAAATAGCCATATTGATTTAAAAAAACTCTTGAATTGTTACAATCACAAACTTTTGGGTTGAAAACGAAGTTATGAAATTTAGATTGTGGGCCTCGGCGGTTGATTTATTGATTTACGGAGATTAGATCACAGCAACGTGACGCACGTTAGCCCCGGATTCCTCCGTAAACCCGTACTCCAAACGGCCGAACCACCCAAGTTTGACGTCGTGCACCGCTGCCATTATTAGCTCCCCTCGCCGGTTTTCTTGTCTGTGACGGCTGCGTTGCCGTCGGAAGGTCCCCAGCTACTCGGCCATTTTTCTGCACCGTCACATACGTAAGCTTTTCTTATTGTCGAGAATGACCTCCTTTCACGCTTCATAACTTGAAAAAATCACCCAAATGGTCTTTTTCGGGTTGTGAGAAGCTTATGAACTTTGCCTGTAACTTCACTTGCGTATAATCTAGGGTTTTTCGATTTCCCCCCTTCAGATTATGGATTTTGAAAGTTTTGAGCTATGGAAAGGGTAGTTTTATTGCATATACTTATAATGATGCACACATAAGGAAATACTCCGTAAGTTTTTTTTCCTCTTTCGAGTTTTTTGTGTGCTTATTGTTATTCTTGGGGGATTCTCAGGAATTTAGGTTCCTATAAATGAGGCTTTCCAAAGAGGAAGGGACATGCATAGCCGAGCCTGCTAGTACTTCGGCTAGAAGAGAAGACCTGGTAAGCTGTTAAAAATTAGAAGGTTATAAAAAATTAACTGAACTCGTTGGCTTCTGTAGCTTAGATAGGACATCAATTCCCGTATTTCCCTTTTGGGTGCACCGCAACTCAGAGGGAATCTTGAGAAATATGATATTCCCATTCATGTATGCTTTTGGAGAAAACAGAAGAAAACATTTACAGTTTTGGTGCCATCCTGTGTCATGTTGAGATGTGTTACTTAGCGGCCGTATGTAAATTGAAGGGGGAAAAGTTAATCCTTCTGGTAGGTTAACCCAAAGAAGCGAAATTTAATAGATGCAGGTCAATCCATCAAAATTATTCATAAATATTGGATAATTGGATGTTTACATTCAATCTCTTGATTCTCTTCAACTGACTGTAGATCGAGCAGTCTATTATTTTTCACATTCAGGAGGCATTAAGTTTGTAGACAGTCTTAAAATGATGAATATTGGATGTTTACACTCAATCTCTTTAACTGACTGAAGATCAAGCAGTCTATTATTTTTTACATTCAGGAGGCATTAAGTTTGTAGACAGTGTTGGTACCCTGTTTTTAGTTCATCTGGTTACATTTCCATTTCCACAGTTATAATCTCATGTAAAGGTAATTCTCTCTTTTATTGATAGCCCCTGGACCTAGTTTCAGCTGTTAAAGGACTGCATGTTCTCAGTTCTCATGACCTAAGCAAGTTAATCCATGATGCTGAAAACAATATTCTGAGGCACATCGATCAGAATGGATCTATTGTACAGGTTGCTTTTCATTAAGAGCCTGGTTGTTTTGTACTCTTTTTTCTCCCTTATTTTAATGTCAAGTTTGTTCCACCTTTGATGCTTTTAAATGCTTAATCTTATAGGTTGATTTAGAAAAACTCACTAGACACCTTGCGTTGCACCTAATTGCGGCGATCATGGCACGAGGAACAAATGAAGCTCTACTCAAATACTTGTTATCTGGATTTCAGTTGTTGTATTCTTTGAGCGATCTAGCATCTCGGCATCCAAAACTTGAGGAGGTCAGAGCTTAATACACTTCCTTTGTTTCACATCACTTATTCCCTTTAAAGCCATTCCAGAGCAAAAGTACATTGATCGTTGGCACAGTTGTCCTCATAAGACCAGTAGTGATTCGAAGCAGTATTTATTACGCACAGCCATATGTTAACTACATTTTCCTCTTTATATCTTTCTAGATGTTGTTTGACGATATTAAACTATCGGAGCAGCTACTTGACCTGGTCTTCTATTCTCTAGTTATACTACGTACTTGCAGTCAGGTTATTTCTTATGTCATACTACGTATATAAAATCCGCTTGTACATTATTGCAAACCCCAAATGTAAAAAGTAACAATTCCACAGAAGTTTCAGGTTTCAAATGACATGGTTCTTTTGCACTCCACTCTACTTGCGTCCAGCCTTTATATTTTGACAGCGTGCATTTCTTCACACTGGCAAGAGCTAGCTCAAGTTTTACTTGTATACAGCAAGGTTAAGCTTCTAATATTGTCTTCATTTTGTAAATTGAATGCAAGTTCAACTTTTAAACTAGCAAAGTGGTCCAGGTTTATAGTACACTAACTGAACTATGTTGCAGGTTGATATTTTCATGGATGCTGCTTTCGCTGCCCTTTGTGCTGATATAATGTTTCTTCAGAACAGTCTGTCAGTTGAACATTCTGATTCTTTTCATGAATCTACTTCTAAAGCTGTAGAAATATTGAATCATCTCTGTCAGCAGTGTGAGGCTTCTCTACAGTTTATTCAGTCACTATGTCAGCAAAAATTGTTTCGAGATCACCTTCTTAAGAATAAGGTTTTGTTGACTATGTATATCAACATTTCAGCATCTGTTTACCCTTTTGTTTTTCTTTTTTCTCTCTGTGACCAAAAGAATGCTTGTTTTTAATCATGAGAGCCAGTTATTCAAATGGAGTTCACAATCTCATGAGTTCGGTGTTGTTGAGACAGACTTATTTTACTGATCTATTATGGTGAACTAAAGATTCTTGTTGCCCATTGAGCACAAACTACCAAGTGTTGAAGCGTTTATTATACTAACAGTTATGAGTTGTCTAAGACATTTGCTATAGTGATTAGTGAGCATTGAAAAGTAGTTCTTCCTACCGATTTACAATGTGCAATTACAGAAATGAGTGAATTACGGAAATGAGTTATCCAAGCATGTGTTTCTTTTGCTTCTATTGTCTGAGACTCTGCTGAACTGCTATTACTGCCCTATATTGTAACAAAAGGTTATTTTCCACTACTCAAACAATTAAATATTTCTCACAATATGGTGTGGCAAGTAAAAATAGGAAAGTTATTTTTGAAAATAAGGAAAGTTATTTATTATCATATTTTTTTTCATCTGGTTGGCCCTCATGAAACTATATCATGTAAAAATTAGAAGCTAATAGAGAAATAGCACATCATTTAGTGGACAATATGTACTGGTTGTTGTAGGGGTATGTAGCATTACTCATATATCTACACAAACTATATTCAGATTTTCGATTTCTAACTTATCTAGTTATAACATCTTAAAATTATTTCCCATTGCGTAAAATGACTCACTGTTTCTTTCTATTTCAGGAGTTATGCAGCAATGGAGGTATTCTATTTCTGGCTCAATCTATCATGAGCTTAAAAGTATCTCCATTATTCCGGGAGTCCTCTTCAACCATAGCTTCTGTATCTAGACTAAAATCTAAACTTTTGTCTATTGTAAGCATGGACCACATCACTCATTATTTGATGGAGACTTAGCCTTTTTTAAACATGTTTACGTGTCATTTATTTATTACTAACGATGCATGACATTAATGCAGTTGTTGTACCTCTGTGAATCAGAGAGTGTTTCTTATTTGGATGAGGTTGCAAGCACTCCTGTAAGCCTTGATTTGGCAAAGTCTGTTGCTTCTAAGGTTGGTTTGTGTATTATGTTTTCATAATTCTTATGTTGTTCTTTGTTCATGATTTAGATGACCATGGTGATCAAGCGATGCTCGTCGATGCTATGTTACTTGAAGTAGTAATCATATTACTAATCATTTATTAGTGTTTTGGACTGGATGGACTGATAGTAGCTGTTTTTTTATTAAAATTGTGTAGGTTCTAGAATTATTGAAGAACACATTTGAAAGGAATTATCAACAACCTTGTGTTCTCTCTGATAAAACCTACCCTAGAGGACAACTGCAACTTAATGCAATGCGACTAGCTGAAATCTTCTCTGATGATTCAAATTTCCGGTCATATATCACAGCTCACTTTGTAAGATCTGGTTAATGCACCCCTTTTGAGTAGCTAGTTTGTATTTGAGATTTGGATGTATTGCTGACTTTCCGGTAATGATTATGAATCTTCAGACTGAAATTTTGTCAGCCATCTTTTCTCCTCCCCATGGAGAGTTTCTCACTTGTTGGTGTTCATCTGACCTTCCTATTCGAGAGGAAGATGCTACTCTGGAGTATGTCCCATTTGCAGCTGCTGGGTGGTTGTTCAATTTTTTTTCATCCTATCAGTTAATTGGGACATCTTCAGAATCGACATTCACTCCTTGTAATACATCTAGAGTACCCTATGGACACCAAAGAACTTCCCTTTTGGTGAAAATCATAGCGAATCTGCACTGTTTTGTTCCTGATATTTGTAAAGGTAAAAAAAGTCTAATATGGCAGCGCGATGCTATTTCCTTCTTTTGGTGGTAACATGTATATGCTTCCCTAATCCCAGATGATAAGGATCTATTCCTTAAAAAGTTTCATGAGTGCTTGCGAAATGAACCAACCAAATCGGCTATTGGCTCTTCATCAATTGGTTTTGCTGAAAGGAAGGTAGTTATTCGCAAAAACCTAGGTAACTACTTCTGCCTGATGTTTTATTTATTTATTTACAACATGATTATCAGGAAATCTGTTTGCATTGCCAATGATCACTACCTACTACTCTCTCAGGTTCACTTCTGAGTCACGCAGAATCTTTGATCCCTTCTTTTCTAAACGAAGAGGATGTGCAGCTTCTGAGGTAATTTAGACCTAAAGTTTGCTAGCATACTATTGCATCATTGTTTAGCTATACCTGATATTTCTGTATTTGGCTTCCATCTTATTACAAAATGCTGCCTGATCTTCTATTGCAGGGTATTCATTAATCAGTTAGAGACTATGTTTGGTCCTGTTAAAATTGAAGAGAATCGAGTTCAAGTAATATCTCTTCCAATTACGATGTGTGCCATTCTTTTTGGTGTCTACATATTTGGTTTATTGTTCAATTTTTTCTTCTTCATTTTTACTTAGCAATGGTAATGAATTTACCAATCAAGCAGTTTTCCAGAAAACCAACATATGCTGAATTGTAATATTGAAAAAACTTAATAAAGGAGCAGTTCCTAGTTCTCTAACACCATGAACTGAATGCTCTATAAAACATTCATTTCATGCATCAAATTACATGAGATATATGCCTAAACTATAGGGAAATCCACCGTTGATCAAAGCCTGAATTATGTTGGGTTGCTTCTATTATAAGCTAGAGGACTCCCCTCATCCTCTTTCTGTTATCTTCTTAACCTCATCATTGCTGAATGAAACTGACTTATTGGAAGTATGGAACTGCTTCACTGCCCAAAGCTTCCCACCAAGAACTACCAATTCCACACAGTTCTTGGCCATTGTCAACTCCAAAAGCTGTAAAGATATGCAGTAACCTTAGCTTTTTTAGATACTTTTAGGCCCTGTTTGGTTGGAGGGTTTCGGAGGGGAGGGAAGGAAAGTGGGGGACTTGTGTGTGTTTGGTTGAAGGAAATAGGGGGGAAGGGGAGGAAAGTGAAAGTCTTTTAAAATCCTCCACTTCCTCCCATTCTAAACCTCCCAAATCAGGGTATTTCGGAGGAAACGTGTTGATAACCACAAACTATACATCTTCTACGTGAATGAACAAAATGTTATAATATTAAAAGGTAAAAAACAAAAAGTTTTGAAAAATTAAAAAATAAAAAAATTTAAAAATTTAAAGATTAAAAAATTTGACATTTAAAAATTTTAAAAATTAAAAAATTTAAAATTATTAATTAAAAATTTTAAAAATTAAAAATAAAAAAACATAAAAAATAAAATAAAGATTAAAAATTCCAAACTGAAAAATGAAAAATTATAAAAGTAAAAAAGTAAAAAATCAAATAAAATAAAATTATGACTCATGACCATAGGAGTAATATTCACAATAGTTAGACATGTATCTATTTTTTTAAGTAAGCTATCAAATAAAAGCAAATTGCGAAAATATTTTCATTAAACATTTCCTCCTATTTTCTCTAACCAAACACAATTTTTTATCAAAATCCTTCCTTCCCCTTCTCTTCCCTTCCCTTCTTGACTCTCCCCTCCCCTCCCCTCCTTTGAACCAAACAAGGCCTTAGGAAGGCTTGTCCCCAATCCAGCATAATAGGCTTGTCAAGATACTGCTTATTTTAATGCTTGCAGCATTCTGAAGCAATATGATATCTCTTCTGTTTGTCCCTTTTAATCACTATATGACTTGCCAGGCCCAGAGTTTTCATGTTTGTTGCCAAAGTCACTCTCTGGCTTTGCTTTTTCCACTACTGGCTAATTAAGTCCCGATAACTAATATCAATGTTTAATGTGTAATTGACATGATAAAAGTACGACATACCGTCCTTTTTAATGGATTAGTTGCTTTTCCTTGAGATAAGACTAATGGTGATGAATTTTTAATTAAAAAATCAATTCTTTTTTGCCTGTTTGTCTTAAGTTGAATGATTCATCCCTCAGGAGGCTCAAAGTGAAGTAGGATGCTCGTTCTCTCTTCTGAGGACTGTGGACCTGCCAAATGTCACTAACAAAAGTGTGGATATCAAAGAATATGTATTGGATATATCATCTTGTCCAGAATTAGACCAGCATGAAATAAGTGGCAGTGGCTCTTGTAAACCTGCTCACGTGGAGATCAAGAAAGCTGAATTTATTTGTAGTGAAGTTAAAGTTAATTTAGACTTGGAAAAGAATGAATCAGATTCTAGTTTTAAGCAAGGGAAGAACCTTACTACTACAAATCAAGTGGTGAATGGTGTTGAGCACATAAAAAAAGATTGGATGGGAGAGGCGAAATATGATGAAACAGTTGAGAGCGCCCAGCATGAAGTGATGCCGCACAGGAAAAGAAAGCGTACCATAATGAATGATAAACAAATAAGTATTATAGAGAAGGCCGTTGTGGTGGAACCTGAGATGCAGCGAAATAAATCTTCTTTAGATTTTTGGGCCAATGAATTAAGTGTCCATGTATGTCACAATAATAGCCTTGCTTTTATTTCCCCTCTTTAAATAAGCCAATTAGTTATAGTCCTTCCCTAAAGACTTGACAATACTTACCTTTTCCAGGGTTCTGAGGTATCAAGATCCCAGCTCAAGAATTGGTAAGCAAACCAACTTTTTGCCATAGAATAATATTCTAACAAACATATTTTAACCATTTTACATTCATAAATTGAGACGCTTCTTTGGTAATTTTTTCTATTGCTATTATTCCTTCTTGCTAAGCGAATAAATGTAAGATATTCTAAGCAACAGTGAATATTATATTTACCACTGCCCCAACATTGAGAATATCGTCCTGAAAAATTTAGAGATTCTTTTCTTGATACCTTGAAAAACATAGATGAATATCATTCTTTAACTTTTTCTTGAAATGTGTAATTGTGTTTTTATCCGATGAGAAATGATGTGTTTTCCTACCTGGCAATATGTATGTCAATCAAGCTATTGATGGTTGAACCCTCTATTTGGAACAGGCTGAATAACCGGAAAGCAAAGCTTGCTCGCGCTGTTAAGGATGGATGTATGTCATCTGAAGGTGACAATCCTCCTGAAAAACATGGCAGTACTGTCTTTATCCACCCATTTGATTCACCTGGTGACCCCACTGATGATATAATAAACCCTATTTGCTCTGTAACTGCAAAAGTCCATAGCACAGTTGATGGCACCACCTTGAGAGCTACTGTTGCTAATGGCAACTCCAAAACTTTGACTGAGTCCACGAAGTGTCAGCCGGGTCAATATGTCATGCTTGTGAATGACAAAAAGGAAGAGATTGGAAGAGGAAAGGTTTTCCAGGTCAGTGGTAAATGGTACGGGAAGGATGTGGAGGAACTGGGAACATGTGTTGTTGATGTTGTTGATCTAAAGGTTGAGAGGTTATCATGGCTCCCATATCCTTCTGAAGTCACAGGCACCTCATTTGAACAGGCAGAAAGAAAATTCGGGTTCATGAGAGTCATGTGGGATTCAACCAATCTATTTGGGTTGCCTCGGTGAACCAAAATACCCTTTTTATTGTAATGGAAATGGTGCACCAAAGTTGGTAAGTATGCATTCTATAGTGTGCTAAGTGATTTATTACTCCGCATGAAATTAAGCAAATAATTTCATTTGTTATGTAGCCTGTTTTGCAGCCTGATTTTTATTCCTGTCATGCATATAGCCACTTTTTTCTTATCAAACACCAACATAGTGCATTTGGTAAGAGGTATTTGTTTGAAATGACTGAATCTGTTGAACCGTTTGATAGCATCCATTTAACTCAAATAAGCTAGTGTCAAAAGCTTACTTATTTTGCTGATAAGCAGTATATGCCATAAATTGCTAACCTAACAAAGCCTTAATTGATTGAGTTGGCTAAATTTGCTAATAATGAAAAATGTGTAGTGTATAAGTTTTTTTCCTTTCAAAAAATGCCTTGAACTAAACTGAATTACACATTTACCTTCTCTTTTAGATTATACTTTCTTGAATTAACATTTACTCCGGTTTATCTGTAGATATATTTTTTAGACATTTACCTTCCACTATTTCAGCTCATTCTCAACCAATTTAGTTAAATTTTACCCTTACCAAGTGGACTCTAAAAGTAGACATGAAAGCAAACAGATTTACTTCTAATCACCTGCTGACCTTGTGTTTATAATTTCCTCTCCTATGTAGTCAATTGATGTGGTTTCAAGCAAACTGCTGCTGGTCCCGCTGTTGCAGAGGGAAATGCTTTTTTGACACACAAACCCATGCTGGTGCACACACTACACAACAGAGAGGGTACTGCTTGGTTGTGGTGAGTTTCGGATGAAAATATACTGTTTGGAGAAAGAAGAAAAAAGCTAATATGAGAGATTCTTGGAAGTGGTTTACCAAACGACTCTTGCTACAAAAACTAGATGTCTGGGACCTGGGAGTGAAGGAATTCAACTGGTAGCAATTTATTATTGTTGTTTATGCTGTGGCTACCCACAAGCATGCCAAAGGTTTTGGTTTATGTACACTGAACTATTTGATCCTTCGAGCTTATTGTAATTATTATTAGTATGCTATCATCATTATAAGGTATTAAGTCTCTTTAAAAGTTTCATCTTTGTGCTAATTTATATCTAAAGAGCTTGTTTTTAAGCACAGCTGGGTTTTGCCATATAAATATATGAGCATCAGACGTGCATAGCTTAGAAGTTAACGGTAATGGCACCAAAACCGAATTGAAATTGACCCATAATGGCACTTAATCAATACGGGAACGTTGATGTGAAGCTGTTTGCTCCAAACAATGGAAGTATTAGTTATTTAGTTAACATGGTTCTTTACTAGCTAGACTCTAATTTGTATATTGGGTTTTTGGTGGCATAACATTGTGCTAATTAAAGAAAGAGAATCTCCTTTCAAAATTCAAACATACTGATGCATGGTAATGGTTAGAAGGGAATTCTTCAAAGTCCAATAATATATCGAGATTAAAGAAATTTTCCAAAAATATTAGTATCAGCATGGTATTTTATTTGTTAGTATACCAAAATAGTAAACTTGACAACCTGTGCATGCTACCTGATTGTAAAATTTAATATTTGCGTTTCACAAATTTTCAAAGTAATGAGGTATAGCCGTATAGGGTTTGATGGGCTTGGGCGGTACTGAAAGTTTGGGCTTAAGGCCTGGTACCGGCAGGGTTGGCTCCGGAGATTTTGGTACCCCAGACGACAAATCATTTTAGATAATACTTCATATCAATACTAAAATTAAATACGAAGTGCATAAAAATCGAAAAATGTGACTACTATCTAATGCACTTAAAACTGATTGTAAAAGGTAATAATTAACTTACAAATGATATTGTATTCAAAAATAAATATTCTTATATGAAATCGATAAAGCTATAAATATACTACCTAATAACCAATTCTTCTTGCCTTTTGAAGTGCAAAATTTGTGAGTACATCACTACAATCAAGAGTAGATAATGTTCTTTTTTCTATTGATAACATAGCTAGCACATTTAACCCATCTTGTGACATCGTTGAACGAAGATAGTTTTTTATCAACTTCAACTTTGAAAAGCTTCTTTCGGCAGCTGCAACTGTCACAGTTAATAAAATCTTGTAAGCGACCCAAGCATGAGGAAAAGAGATACATCTCTCTTATATACTCCAACACTTCAACGACTTTTGTTTTGCCTTCGGATAATGATCCGTATTAATGAATGCCTCAAAAAATACGGACCTTGGATGAGTGTTGGACAATTGGCTTTGGAGATTGGAGTAATTTAGTTTTTAATTAATAAGTGAAAAATGATGTTTGATGGGTATGGTGGGCCACTTTTACTTTTTGTCTTTTCCAACTCTCAATTGACTTTGGAGATCGGAGTAACACACTTTTATTTTAGTATACATACTAACATGGCCGTCTTAACCAATTAAGAGGCCTAGGGCTATTTATACAAATTAGGCCTTACATTTGAACACTAATTTCAAAAAATATAGCAATCAGTTATCAATTTTGCATGCTTGGAAAAAGAAAAATCACTGAAATAAGACATTAAATATTGAAATGGAAAGAACTAAAATGATAAATTGAAAAATAAGAGAATTAAAAGCGGTGAAAGATATCATATGTCAATGAATTAAGAGCACCCGCTAAAGATTGTGAAGGTAGGAAGCTAAAGATTTCACCCGCTAACTTGAATAGCATTAGAGCACCGGATTGGGATTTGAAACTCCTAGTTTATTAATTTCTTTTTTATTTAATTGGGACTTTAAATCTTTAATTTATATGCAGCCCGTTGGGACTTATGACAGCCTATACGTAGGCAGCCATGTTCGGACATAGACATTTTGTTTTGGAGAACTCATACCAATAATCCGGACTTTTGCTGGTTCTATAATTATAATCTCTACTAAAAAAGTCAATACAAATAATCCAAACTCGTAAATGTGTCTACATAGATAGATTAAACTTTCATAGATAGATTATTATCCTTCAAGAAAATAATTATAGTAATGATATAAAAAAATACTAAACTTAAATTTATGACAACGGTGAACAAAGTCAATATTGTATCCTTGTATATTAAATATAAAAAAGATTAATCTAATCTATCTATGGAGACGTGTTTATGAGTATGGATTATTTATATAGGCATCTTCGATAGGGATTATTATTGTAGAACCGCTAAAAGTATGAATTATTGGCATGAATTTCGCCTTTTGTTTTAGGCTTCTATATATAGAATATTTACTAATAATTTATACACTAAATAGCAAATATTAATATATACACACATATACTATATTTTTTTTTAAAATAGGCCTATTTTTTTTGGAGGCCCTGTGCAAAGGCACAACTTGCACAACCTCAAAGACGGCTCTGAATACTAACACTAGCAAGTAATACTAGTTTTTTTTTAAATATGGTGCCCCATATCCAAGTGATGTGGCAATAGCCTAAGTGCCTAGGGTCTAAAGCCAGTACTGGGTATCGGGCCGGGCCGGTCTACCCGCCCGGGTCTCGGGTCGGGTTGGGCAGGGTTTATATATATATATATATATATATATATTGAAATCTTGATTAAAAATTAATTCAAGAAGTGCTAGACAATAAAAATTAAAGTATATTTATTTGAAAAATGAACTACAATTGAGAATTGAGAAAATGTTAAAACATTAAATACATTTCCTAATAACAAGTCCCAATAATTATCATGTCACATTAACCTCAGCATATACATTCGTGCGTGGGGGGTAGAATCAAATCAAATTAGGATGTAGAAAAATGTATAGAAAATAAGAGTATTTATAGATTCTTTTACCCCCACCCCCTCACCCCCAAACCCCCCTAACCCCCATACCTCTCCAATGGCTATAGAGCCGTTAGGCCACCCCACCATAGGCTGCAAAGCCATTAAATTATTTAAACATTTTTTTTTAAAAAGTGGCCGTTAGGCCTGACCGGTCACCATTTTCACTGTCCCACATCCCGCCCCCAAATCCCTGATTCGGACCTCCAGTACCGGTCCCACTCGGTGGGTCGAGTCTGGCCTGTACAGTGGCGGGCCGGGCCGATCCGTCCCATTCCATCCCTAATGAGGTGTGCTAATTTTTCTAGAAAAAATGACGCAAAGTTCAACTTCATTCGGAGTACAAAGGGCGCTAAAAATTCTACACAAAGTATCTTCATATATTCTTGCAAATTATAATAAAAGCTGGTGATGTGCATAACTTACACGAAGGAAGTGTTACAACTAAAACATAATTAATGGCATATGCCACATAGTTATAACATACTAACTTCTAATTTACAAAATTGAAAAAATGGCTTTCACTAATGTTCTAAAAAAATATCATCTAAAATTAATCTCAAAATAATCTTACCTTTACGATTCATTTTTCACTTGTTTTTGATTGAATAATGACACTTGTTGTTCCATGTCCGTACTTACTTTTTTAAGAAAACAATAAAAAAAATCTTGCTTTTCACTTATATTTTCATTTTTCCATGGAAGTTTTTTTTTTATCATCTCAACACTTAGCTTTTTCCTTTTTTTAATTTTCTTGTTATTTTTATTTACCTTCTTTGTTAAAGTATTCCCTTTTCAAAAGTATAATTATCCCTCGGTAGTTCTTTTGTTCCTTTTTTCTTCCTCCCCATTTTCTCTATTTCCCTTTTTATGTATTACCATTTGTTTTAATTCTTTGTTTTATAAACGACTTTTTCCTGCCCTACTTGATATGATTTTCTTTTCCCTTTTCCCCCTTTCTTCACCATATCATATTAGAAGTTATTGTTCTTTTCCTCTTCCCTTTTCACCCAAGATTTTTATCTAGCCTTTGACATGTTAGTGATTTGTGACATGTTGTTTAGGTTTCTTTTTTATTCATATCTTTTCGGCTATTTGAAATTCCCCTCCCACATATACCTTTTCGAGTAAAGAGTATATGTCAATCTTTTCTTTCTTACTTTTTCCTAATTGTTTTGTTTTTCTTTACTCCGTATATTTCTGTACTTGACGGAACTAATGGGTGGACTCACCTAGAAAAACATGATAATGCGGGGTGATGGAGTATATGGGTCTGAGCCCCCGGACCCACATACTCAGAAGAACAGAAAGCACAAGACACAGAGTGGCGCCCTCGTCGGCCAAAGCACCCCCGTCGGCCGAAAAGGTGCCAACCCAGATTATGGTCCTGAGCCCAAGGAACCCGGGTGCCCTCGTCGGCCGTGCCCTCGTCGGCCACGCCCTCGTCGGCCACGAAGACCTCACAGAACCGGATTCCACATTTACTCATTCGTACAGCCCAGTAGTGGCTTTGTATTCGGCCCAGTAGCGGTCCAGTTGTAAATGGGCCTCCCAAGCCCAAGGTTTGGGAGCCCAACCCGTATTTTTTCTATAAATACTCCCCCTGGGAGTAGTTATAGGGGTGACAAATTCATTCTATTGAAGCATATATTGCACTTCTCTCTCTAGCTCTCACTTCTCTCTAGATATACTCTATCATTTGGTGCTCTCGTTGAGAGCTAGAACAATCAAGTTAGCACCCTTCGTCGCTACCAAGCACAGCTAACCACTAATCATGAGAAGAACTAAGTCAAACCGCAACCTCGTCAGCAAGGCCATCCCTGAGGACCAAGAGCCCAGGGAGCACGATGAGGACGCCACGGCCGACCAGGTCGGCGGAGGGGACGTCTTCCAGGAGGCCTTCAACCTCACGGCGGACCTCCGCAATCAACTCAACGGCGGAGCCCCTGATGCCCGCATCAGCTTGGACAAGAAACGAGCTGAGAAGACGGACCACGCCCCGGCCCAGCCTATGGCCGCGACCTCTCCGTCCGTGGATCCACAGGTCCAGGCCACGCTGTCGGTCATCATCGGCAGCCTGGCTCAGAACCCCACCGTCCTCAGTGCACTCTTGCCAAGGACCGGAGGGAACGCCACTCCACCTCCTCAGCCCCAACCCTTGGTCGTCCAGATAGGCAACGATGAAGGGGTGATGGCCCAGGACACGGCGTCGTCCCACTCCCACCCTGCTTCCCCTCTTCGGCCCGGGCAGACCCCAGCGCGTGGAAAAGCCTCTGCCTTCAACAGGCTAGGTGACA